CTAACTCATGTCCATAGTTAGATGAAGACATTGATTATATATCTTGGATTCCTTATTCAAGTGCAGTGGGATCGCTTATGTATTATTGTTTGTACATGCCCAGAATCGGTACATACAGTCAGTGCAGTTAGTAGAGATATGGAAACTCTTGGCAAGGAATATTAGAAAATAGTGCAATAGATATTCAAGTACTTGATGGGCTCTACTAATTCTTGTTTACATTTTGATACAAATACAGATGGAGTTGTTGGGTGATTACAATGGGGAAGAAATAATGAACAACAATGGTGGAAATCTCTCCCAATTCTCCCAAACCCAGATGCCACTTTCCCGTACTCTCTCTCCTATTGTAGCATACACAAGACATTCGGCTGTTTATATATGCAACTATTGGGTTAGATATATGGGTCTAGACTTATCAACATGGGCCAAGTAATACCTCTATAAATGGGTTACTGCTTAACCAAATAAATGGGCTAATATCGAAGTCCCAACTCAAAATTGTCCTTTTCAAAAAATTTTGGTCATTTTCGGGTCAAGACAAGTCTATGGTGTTGCTAAATTACTTGAAATCTATTTTAAATCATCACCCGGATTTATTGAGTATCAAAACCCAAAAAATCTCCACCTTGATACACAATCAATCTGCAAACAAACAAAACACAAAGTTTAAAGGTAACTTATAAAATTGGTATCACAAACCTTATCTCTTGTTTTGGGCTTAAAACGCATACCATACATATTCCATATACTCACCGGGGCTAAAGTAAAAAATACTAAGTAAAAATAAGTAATTACAGTAATCAATCAAGAGTATATTCAACATGCGATGAACATATAACATAGGATAACACCAAGATTTTTTCAAAAGGCATGTTTACTCAGAACAACAGACTAACACTAAGTTAATCGATCAAACAGTCAAAATACATAAAGATCTCACCACACTTATCATATCCCATTTCGTGTTGCTAGTACCTTGAGAAAACATATCTCCTCTCATTGTCCACGATGCTCACTAGACAGATCACTCAACTCATGTCTAACTAGTAAATCACAATAGATCCTAAGTTCACGGGATAATCCTCTATCATCACCTCACTTCTTCCAACCTAAGTGGATAATAATTCTATATCGAACGGAAATGATAGAAGTATCTCGCTCTCACAGTCTACATAATCAGGATCTTTACAGTTAAAAATTTCAACATTTAATCACCTCTCCACTCGTGATCCAAATGTCAAACTCCACATCCCCATGCATATCACCAATGCACCCTTAGGTATCTATACTCCACATCACCAATAGACACCCAACACACTTAGTTGGTATCTGTCATTGATTTTTGGACCATTGGGGATTGTGTGGAAGAGGTGGAGTAGTTGTTTTGTGATTTGTAGAAGAGAGTGATTTAATTCCTTGCATTGGAATTTGGTTCAAGGTGAAGAATTGTTCAAGTATGACCTAATTTTTATTGCACATGGGTATTTTGGTTGAAGAGGACTTGAAGAGTTCAAACTATGGAATACGGAAAAACACTCGGTGCATTTTGCTCGCCATCCGCCCGTCTCTTGCTCAAATAAGAGCTTTGGCACTAGCGCACTCGGTGCATTCTGCTTGCCATCCATCTGTCTCTTGCTCGAACAAGAGCTTTGACACTTGCCAGTGCTAGGTTGCCGCTCAAACGATGGAGTCACCGCTCGTTGGGCGCCCTCTTGGCGCTCAAGCGGTGATTCGTTCAAGCTAAGGCCCGTTTCACATTTTAATACGTTTTCAGCAATCCAATCCTTCTAAAACTCTATGTTTAGGGTTTATATATATTAACCATGACTTGTAAACATAACATAATATTCATAGAGCCTTGAAAGAGCTTTGAATCTTGATTGAGAGCATTGAGATCTTGTGTAAAAAACTTTTATTATTGATTATAACTGTGATTTTTTTCACCTCGGGTTTCACAAAAAATATTGGTGTTCTTATATTTGTTTGTTTTTATTTCATCTAACCAATTATCTTGTTGATTTCATAACGACACATATTCTCAGCAGTAGCTGGATAGAATCTGGGAACTTCCATGGCAGAATTTCAATGTGAGCTTTGCTTGTAAAGGATAAAGAAACCCTTATTTAGTGGTCTTTCTGAATATGTTCATCATTGAACTTCGAATTAAATAATATTCCACATAAATTATTGTTATTAATTCTTATTTTAGTATCTTCTAACTTGATTGATTGAAAATTAAGCTTATTCTTTACCTCGAAGATTTTCTTCTATTTGTAAATAGATTATTGTACTTTTAATACTCTTGTTGTTAGCTATAATATTTTAGTTCTATGATTGCCTATTGTGACATAAAGAGGTAATAGTTATGCGACCTTAGTGTAATAAGATTAGAAGACGGGGGTAGATTAAAACTAGCATGATGTGCTGTAGTTATTTGAATATAGAATTGATTTCCTACTCCTAATAGGCAAAATAAAAATTTCTCATTGCCGATGTGGTGGAGAGACCCGTAAGTATGATTCTCTAAATATATAATTGTTGCATAGAAACATAAGTAGGGTTCTCTTGAATATAGTGGCTTTGAATCTTTCAATAATAAATCGAATGGGATTAAGGGAGTGATGAAAAGGATTTCATGCAAGGAACACACATTTATTGGGAATAATGCTTAGTTTATCATTTTTTACTCTTTACTTGCACTTTTGTACATGTATAATTGCTACACTGTTAATTTGATTTTGGTAAACTGTAGAAATTGTTTAGCTTTTATATTTGGCTTCCATTTTTCTAAAACTGTTTTTTTTTTTTCCAAATTAATTAACCACACATTTTGCAGGATCTACAGTTTTCCAAAAATATGTTTTTTTTTTAACTAAACCAAATAAGGGCATTTACACTATTCCAACAAATGAAAAAACATGATCAAATCAAAGCAACTCCCGAAAAATTTGTTTAATGCGTGTATGATTCGCAACACTAATAGAACTTGTATAAATAAACAAGATTTTAGTACAAATGTCATAAAAAGCAAGTTAATCTGTTTTATTGCCAAACATCCAAATGATTCAATTTTTGCTATGCAAAATAGAGATTGATCGTCCCATTATATGATGTACGTGCACTTTTAAAGTTACAACTATTATCATAAGAATCTATTAATTTGTTGTCATAAACACTATTTGAGGGTAAGTTGAATATATATATTTTTTTTAATTGAAGATTTGGCATGTACACAACAACTAATGATACCGAGATTTTTTAAAAGATTTCTATGTAATTTAACATCAGGTTAAACTTAATTTACACCGTCAAAAGTTCCCATTATAGTGATGCAGGCCCATCTTGAAATTTTAAGTATCTTGTGCACAATTTAAAATATAACCCATCTTTTAATTAAATAAGAAACATAAAGAAAATATTTGATAAAACTCTATTTAATACTTACAAAAGTAATACATACAAAATATAACAATTCAATATGTATTTGTATTATATATTTTTGCCATATCATGAAAGAAAAAGTACAAGTAAAACATTACCTTCTTAATATCATCCTCAAAAGATTATTTTTAAAGAGTATTACACCGCATGCATTGTTGAAATTATCTAATTATAATTTAAAATTTTGCATTTCAGTTTGGGAATTGACTTCTTTTTTGGTTGGCTGAATTGCATGGTTGAACAGCTGATGGGGTCTTTTGAAACAATACCTTTTAGCGGAAGCAATATGAGTGCGATGAACATGGATAATTCGTCAAACGGAGAGTATGGGCATCTCATTAAACGATCTTGCTCTTCACAAAATCCTAACTAATTGAACTTTAAAAAAAAAAATTCTTTGACTGTATGTGTCAAGTTTTCAAAATGGTAACTAATGTAAAGTCTTTCACAACTGTTACATTTAGATGTGTTATACCTGTAGTATGTTACTAATACAATATCTTTGACTGTATGTGTCATGTTTTCAAAATGGTCTGGTGGTGAAGTCTTACTTTGCAAAGCAAAGACTTGTGTCGGAAGTTCTCGAAGGTGGACTGATATTATAGCTCTGAAGGCAAATTAACTATAGTGGTAATTGTTACATCCTTTTTCATTCTATGGATAAAATATATTCCAGGTGCCATTTATAGGTGGCTTCTTATTTTACTTAATTAATGAAAGTGTTACTTTTAATCTTGCTCTGCTCAGGTACAATGGTTGGCTAGGCCACCCATGTTCTTCAAAGAGAATAATCCACAACCCAGAAAACATACTATTTGGAAGCAAATTTCTGACTTCACTGCTGGGCAAGCTAGCATAAATAGGTAAGCAGTTAAATAGTGTTGTCTTTTCGATCAATTGAAATTTCATGTTAAAACCATTGGGTTTGGACTATAATCCTTATGATTACTTACATTGAATTATTTTGAGATCCCAAAAACTTTGGTCCTAGTCTTGAGTGATCCAACCTTTGATGTTGTTTGAACAGGAAGCATTTTTTACAATGCCCTCCAGATGTGTTAAATAAGCACCATGAAAAGTTGATCCAGTGTGATAAGCGTCTTTATATTTTGAGCCAACAACTCGAGATAGTTATAGACTCACCATATTTTGATACATGAGCTTCTATTAACCCAGAAGAATGCAGAGGTCGTGAATTTGATCAAGTGTCTGTCGCTCAAGGATATTCTCCCTCTAGCTTCCAGGATGTAGAATTGGTAGCTATCACACAATCATCTCCTTCAACTTTCGGACAAAATCCCAATCGTGTGACTGTTGAAAACATGTCTACTGAAACCTTGTCCTCCAGCTCAGGTACAATATTGTTCGTCTTTATTGTGAATACAAAATCTCCAGTTTATCTGATTTTGGAGTAACTACTATTAAAAAAACATCTAAGCACACATTGATTACCCATTTATTTGTCAGCTCTTGTCTCCATATTTGATCTTGCAAAATTATTTAGCTGTAGTTGTAATTTTGAATTCATTTTCAACCATCGTCTAATGTTACTAGTGATGGATACGAGTGCAATTGAATGTAATGGAAGTCGTGAAGGGCATGTCTATTTGGAGCAAAGAAGCTGGGAACAACTCAAGGTGCCAGATCTCCTTCCATCTGTGATGCGTGATCTAGAAAACAACATTGGAAGCTGTGTATCTGAGCAAGTAACTTCTGGATGTTTACCTTCAGACAAGACACCAGAATTTTGGGATGTAATGGAAAACATTAAACGATATTTACTTGGTGACACACAAAGTACGACCGTTTTGGATGAGAAATCTCTATTGAAAAAGGTCGATTCTCTCTCCTTCCTCCTGCAAGATCCTGCAACAAGTTCCAGTGCGAAACTTGAAAAAGGAATTTACGATGAAGGTGCTAATTATGGAATAAATGTTGCGCCCAATCTTTCAAATGACCCGCTGATGCGTGAAAAGACAAGTAACGATATATTTTTCTCTCAAGAAAACTATAGGTCTGGTTTTGGTTGCACGCCGATTGCACCTTCCATGTCGAGGATAGACTCATTAGCAGATTTTTAGGTTCACCTTCCGTGCATTGCCTCTCTTTCAGAATTTAATTGATATCTCCCGATCTAGATAAATGTTCCTTTTACTTTTGCTTGGTATAGAATTGCAGCTGATATGATTTAAGCTCTAGATATTATGAATATATATTTTTAATATTATTGGGACTCTGAAATTGGTTTGATGAAGGATCCTGATAATATTTTCTTGCAAGAAAGTTTCTCATCCATTCTTGTATTAGTATGTTTCAAGCTGAAGTCTCTTTTGTAATATTTGATCTAATGAAATTTTCTGCAGCTATGTTTTGTAGTATATTTTCAATTTGTACCTGATTTTCTATATATCTACATACTTATATGTGTTTGTTGGATATAAAATTAACTTCGAAAAGGTTGTTTGGCAAATAAGTGACTACAAAATGCTTTAAAATGCGGCTAAAAAGTAGGATTTCTACTTTCTTTGCTGCATCTAATTTCATTATTTAAAAGTGAATAGAAATAATGGATTAATGACTCGATGTAAGAAAAAAATTAAAATATTGAAATTCTTGTCCGACTCGACAACGTTGCACGTAGATTACCACATATTACTTATAGCTAAGCCTTCATGCAAACTCTATTAAAATGTCCTAAACGATAGAAATGTTTTTTATATGACAAGAATTTCAAAGTTTTTTCTTGGTGACATCATTATTTATCTTACTATAGACAAACCTAGGGCCTGTTTGGTGCACATTAACATGAGAAAATTTTGAAGTGATGTGATGGGGAATTGAGGTCCTAGAGGTACGCAAAAAGAATCAAAGTGGGGATCGTTTTCAACTTTTAGAGCCTATTTGGTGCACATTAAAATGAGAGAATGCATTTTTTTGAAGTGATGTGATGGGGAATATGTGGTTGAAAATTAAGGAAAAGTTATTGATGTGATAGAAAATATTATTTTATTGAAGAATATGTGGTTGAAAATGAGTAGAAGACTAAGAATAAAAAAATAATGTGGGTCAAACGGGGGCCTTATATTAAAATTGAAACCAAGTGCAAGTTGAGTGCACTACTTAGACTTGTATTTCTATCTTAAACTGTCAACATCATTAACAAGTAGTTCAAATTTTTATACATTGATTTATATTTTCATCTTTATTTGATATCAATTTTATATCATAACTTGCACATTGGGTGGAAAATATCCTCACTTTTAGCAAATATAATTGTAGGAATGTCCATAGATTCCATAAATACGTGGTTAAAAGTAGATAAAGTTGTGAATCAATAAATTATCGATTTGGTATAGCTAAAAAAGTTTAAAATCTAAGTCAAAATTAACAATTAATTTTAACAATACATTTCATGACATCTACAACTTTTCGACTATATATTTCATCCATTTTTATCAAAATCTACTAAAAAGTTGATTTTAGGGCGTGTCTGGGCGCACGGTTAATTTGAATTCGGACCGTTAATAATCAACAATTGGACCGTTGCTTTCTTTTTTTTATTCAAGTTAATCTAACGGCTTTTTTTTTATTCAATTTAATTTGACAAGAAGTCAGACCATAAATCTAGATTTTCCCAATTTACCCCCTCTTACACGCCTCAAATTTGCAATAATTTGAGGTGAGAGAAATAAGCAACCTGGAGGATAATATGGTAATTCAATACCAATTTTTAATATTACCCTGCAAGAGTTTGCTGTCCAGTGGGCCCGTTTGATTTGAGAGGAAAATTGATTTTTGATTCTAAAATTGCGCCCAGACACGCACTTAATAAAATTAAAGAGAAAATGTGTAATTAAAAATAAATTTGTACTAAATTATAATATAAATAACATGGCTGAAATTACCTTAACTATAATTAGTTTCAGTTTGTACATAAGATTTGTGTTGTGTGACTTATGTCATTTCATTTGACAACCATTTGCTGCTTCTGCCAGAACACACAACATGTTAATTGAGCCCCTATTTGATGACTTGGAACATGCGCAAATAGAAGTCAAGACAACATTCTTCCATGGAGAACTTGAGAATGATATTTACATGCAATAACCAGAGAGTTTCATAGTTACTGGAAAAGAGAACTATGTGTGCTTGTTGAAAAAGTCGTTGTGTAGACTGAAGCAGTCACCAAAGTAGTAGTATAAGAGATTTGATTTATTCATGACTACTCATTATTTCATTAAAAGCAATTATGATAGTTGTGTGTACTTCAAAAAGTGTGATTATGGGTTAGTTACATATCTACTATTGTATGGTGATGATAAGCTAATAGCAGTCAAAGATAAAACAGTGGTCAAAAAGGTAAAAGCTCAGCTTAGTAAGGAGTTTGAGATGAAAGATTTGGGTGCAGTAAGAAATATTCTTGTCATGGATCTCTTCAGGGATAGGAAAGTTGACAGGTTATATTTGACTCAGAAGAGATATATTGATAATGTACTTTATAGGTTCAATAAGGAGAATGCAAGGGCTATTAATACTCATTCCGCTGCCCACTATAAATTATCATCTGACTTGTGTCCACAATCAAATGAAGACATTGATTACAAGTCTACGATTTCTTATTCAAGTGCAATTCGATCGCTTATGTATGCTATGGTTTCTACATGCCCAGATTTGGCACATACAATCAGTGTAGTTGGCAGATACATGAAAAATCCAGGCAAGGAGTATAAGAAAATAGTGCAGCGGATATTCAAGTACATGAGGGGCTCTACTAAGCTTGCTTACATTTTGATAGAAATACAGATGAAGTCATCAGGTATAAGGATTTAGATTATGCAGGGGATCTTGGTAAGAAGAGCTCACTCACAGAGAATGTATTTACTCTTGGAGGTTGCTCTATTAGTTGGAAAGTGACTTTATAAAATGTAGTAGCACTATCAACAACAGAGGCCGAGTACATGGCTATTTCAATTAGAGGCATGTAAGGCAATTACGTGGTTGAGGGTTTCGATAAGGGAAATTAGCGAAGACTTTTACAGTTTGTTGAAATAGTAAGAGTGATATCTTTAGTACAAAGGATCAAATGTTTCACAAGAAGACAAAGAACATTGATGTGAGGTATCATTTTGTGCATGAAGTAACTACTCGTGGTGATATTGTAGTGAATAATGTTCATACCAAGGAGAATCCCACTAATTTGATGACAAAATCACTTCCAATTGCTAAGTTGAAACATTGATTTGTCATTGGAAATTGTGTTGAAGATGTAAAGTAGTTGTTTGGTGATTTGTAGAAGAGCGTTGTTTAATTCCTTGCATTGAAATTTGGTTTAAGGTAGAGAATTGTTGAAGTATAACCCAAATTTTATTGGGCATTGGTGTTTTAGTTGAAGACAACTTGAAGAGGTCAAATTATAGAACACAAAGAAAAACTCGATGTATATCCATTCGCCATCCACCCGTCTCCAGCTAAAAACAGGAGCATTAGTGCTCACTAGCACCATGTGGCTGCTCCACCGCTCGCTTGGCTCCTACTTGGCACTAGAGCGACGGTTCTTCAGGAGAGACTGTAAGTATAGTTCTCTAAATGTATGATTGTTTCATAGAACCATAAGTAGGGTTCTCTTGCCTGGAAAGTTTTCATCATACTCAATGTGGACCGGAGATCAAATCAGTATTTGGATATAGTAGCTTTGAATTTTTCAATAATAAATCAAACGAGATTAAGGAGTGATGAAAACTAATTCATGTAGGGAACTCACATTCATTGGGAATAATGCTCAATTTGTGATTTTTTGCTCTTTACTTGCACTATTGTACAAGTATAATTACTACACTCTTAATTTGATTTCGGCAAAATGTAGATATGGTTTAGCTTTTATATTTGGCTTCTATTTTCTAAAACACAATTTTTTCCAAAATTAATTAACCACACATTTTTCGGATCCACAAATTTTCAATCCTACATTTAATTAACTTTTATTAAAATATGTTTTTTTTAGCTAAACCAAAAAAGGGCATTTACACTATTCCAATGAATGAACATCATTGATCATGGCCTTTGTGCATTATATAAATCAAAATTTTTAAAATTTACTGGAAAAGCATGATCAAATCAAAGTTTAATGCATGTATAAATGTCAACACTAATAGAATTTGTATTAAAAAAAATAAGATTTTAGTGTGAAATTCATTTAAAAAAAAAAGTTAATAGGTTTTATCCCTAAACATCCAAATGATTCCATTTTTGCCATGCAAAATAGATATTGCAGTTCAAAATTCCGTAGTTGGACTTTGGGTTCAGTCG